GCGCGCCCTCCCCCGTGGGCCGGTTGGAGCCGTCCAGGCTGGCGAACTCGATGTAGTCCTCCCGCGCGTCGGCCCAGTAGATCCGGCTGTTGATGTAGTCGAGGGTGAGGCCGTTGGGCCAAGTTATCTTGGTGTCAACGATGACGCTGCGGTTGGTGCCATCCATGCCGATCTTCCCAATCAGGGAGTGGTCCCCCCAGTCCGTCCAGTATAGGTAACTGGGGATGAAGCAGAAGAGCAAAGGGAGGCTGATCCCAGCCCGAGCCACCGCAGCGGCCGCGCTCTGCCCGTTGCGTGGCTGAACCGAGACGCCTGGGCACGTGGGTGCAGGGCAGGGAGAAGCATCCAGGCCTCCTGGATGCAAGGAGGGAAGGTCCTGTCCCATCTCCCAGCCTCCAGGACTATGGCGAGACAGCAGGGGGGCCACCAGCCCCTGCCTTGTGTAAGGGAGAAGGTCCAGGTCCCCCAGGCTCTCACCCGTTCTGCACATCCACCACCAGCGCCCGGGGCTCACGCAGGCCCGAGTTCACCAGCACGGTGCGGTAGGCGCCGTTGAGCTTCGACACTTCGATGGTGTCCCGACCTTTGTCGCACCAGTACAGGTTGCCTCCCACCCAGTCCACAGCCAGCCCGTCGGGGTTGCTGAGGCCGGTGCGGTGAAGAACCTGTTGGGAGAAAATGGAGATGTTGGGGCTGGATGGGGAGAACCTGATCCTGCCCTGGTCCCTTGGGGGTGACAACATCCCCTTTCCCCGGCGCCCTGTCCCTGCAGACGCTCCTGCCCAGCCCCCTCTCCTCACCCCTCTCTTCCCCCAACCCTCCCTGCTCACTGCTTTGGGGCAGTGTGGAGCCCACCTCAGGTCGGGATGGTGCTGCCAAACGTCCCCGCAGCAACCTGGCCGATGACCCCGCAGGGCTTGTGCCCTCTCCTGCGGTGGCCCCGGAGCCAGCCCGGTCCCCTCCAGGCAGCCGCCCTGCGCAGGAGGTGGGCGAGGAGCGGCTGAGGGCGCCCGGGGGGGGCTGCTGAGCCCCTCACCTGGACGTTGCTCCCGTTGATGTGCATGCGGCGGATCATGCTGCCCTGCGTGGTGACGTCTGTCCAGTAGATCATCTGCTCCCGGTAGTCGAAATCCAGAGCCACCGCATTGTTCAGCCCCTGGGAGGAGGGGGGAAGCGTTGAAACAGATGAACCTGCTCACAGGATCCTGGGGGCTCTGCAGAGACCGGGCAGCCCCCCCGCCTCGCCTCCCAGTCCCTGCAGCAGGGACGTTAAAGCACCTACAGGCGACGGTTGTGCAGCCCCTGCCTCACACAGGTCTGCCACCCAAGCCCTCCTCTTTACACGGGGGCTCGTGTATAGCGGGAGCTACAGGTCACACAGAAGCCACTCCCTGCCTGGGGGGCCGAGAGCCCAAACGCCCTGCAGGGCCCCTCTCCCACCCCCAGCCCCTGCCCACGCGGGGCCGGTGCCCCCTCCTGCTCCTGTACCTGTTTGAGCAACGTGTAGTTGGAGCCATCCAGGTTGAGCTTCCTCAGGTAGTATCGGTTGGCGAAGATGAGGAAGGGCTCTTCGTCTGCACGGGGGAACCAAGGGACGAGTCAGGGCGGCGCCGCTGGGACGTGGGCAGATCCCTGTGGCCCTGCTGCCCCCCCTGCCCCACTGCTTCCCGGCTCCTTCACGAGTTGGGCGCAGCTACTTTGCCTTGTGGAGCACCACAACCAGCTCCAAGACCCAGCAGCGTCCCACGGTTGCCAGAAGCGCATCCTTGCCTCCAAAGCCCCCTCCGGGCCCTCACCTGTGACAGCTTTACAGCTGGTGGGGTTGTCAGGTTTGAGCTTGTAGCCCTCTATGCACAGGCACTTGTAGCTGCCCAGAGTGTTGATGCACTTCTGGCTGCAGGGGTAGGTGGTGGAGCACTCATCGATGTCAATGCACGTCTTCCCGTCGTCCTTCAGCCGGAACCCGGGACGGCATCTGCACTGCAGGAGGCAACCCGGAGCTGTTAGGCACATCCAGGGCCCGCACGCCAGGAGGTGACGGGCATCGCCACGGGCCAAGCGGGCGCAGGCACAGGCACTCGCGGGCGCAAGGGCGGCATGCACAAGCACGGGCCAGAATCATAGAATCGTCTAGGTTGGAAAAGACCTTTCAGATCATCGAGTCCAACCTTTACCCTACCCCTGCCATCTCACCACTAACCCCTGTCCCCAAGCACCTCATCCATCCTTCTTTTAAATCCCCCCAGGGGTGGGGACTCAACCATCTCCCTGGGCAGCCCCTTCCAGCCCCTGACAGCCCCAAGGGGAAGGAATTGTTCCCCATGGCCAACCTCACCCTGCCCTGGTGCAAC